GCAAGCCTACTATCGTTGTAAACTAATTCACGCGAAAGTCATCGTCCCTGTGCCCACCTTGCTGTGTGGAACACGGTGGACATAGTCGGTAACAATGTTCGAACCGCCATATTGCTTTGAAGGTCACAAAGGTCTTCATATAACTGCGGCCGGCGTGTCATGGAGTTTTTTTATGTCTTGTGAGTGTCAGTCGATTATTTTACGTCTTTAACAGCCTTTTTGGCGAAGGCACTCAAGTAACGCGGCTTTGTTTGTGATAATGCCGTCGTTCGCGTACGTCCTGATGTGATGGTTCCTCTCAAGGGCAGTTCATTGGATGTCTCGGTCGTCATTTAACCAGTCCTGTCTTCGTCAGAGGCTATTCTCGTGTTCGATTTTTCGGTTTCAATTTGAAGTAGGACTAGGCCGTGATCGGTCCAGCATTCGCCAACACAGTAGCGTTGTCGCTGGTGTGTCAGACGATGTGGCTCCCTGATGTGCACGCTGTTCATTGTTCGCTAGTGAGGCGAGTCAAGGTCCATCCCCGTGTTGTTGTCCTGTGGTCGTAAAGGTGAAAAATGGTGTAAACGATGAGGGCGTTGTGCGTTGAGCAATCGTCCAGCGACAAAAGTCCATAGATATTGGAGTTTCGCTACGACCAGGCACGCCCTCCCAAACGATGCAGTCTGCACCTGCACGTCCATTGAAATCCCCGAGAGTAATCAACTTCGACGTAGACATGAGGAGGGGAAGAGGGCCCTTGCGTCGTCAGGATTTCTCATTGTCGGGGCGCAGGCGCTGATGATAATACTGCATTTCTTCACGCGATGCAGAAGTCTTGTTGAGATGAGACGATGTCGATTCTCTGAAGGAGGAGCAGCAGTCCTGATGCAGTGTGCGACACTGGCTGCTTGCTATTTGCCATTGAGACCATCACTCCAGAATAAAATGGGTACTACTCTTGCTCTTGACCAGAGAAGCGGTTCTCGATGGGATAGGTTAATTCTATGTGATATCGGGCCAGTTTGTGTCCGGCCAGAGCTGTCCTCCTTTTTACTCGATTGGCTATTGAGCAATCTTAAGAAGAGTACACCCCATACTACGACAGTGAGCCACATCGTTTGGGTGATAAGAGCATGGATGGTGTTTGCGTTTCTTATGCGCGTTGACGGCGTGTTTTATGCTGGAATTTCGTCCACCGAACAGGACATTTTCGTCCCGTTGTGCCTTGGGGCCCACAAAGGCAGTCGCATTGCGACCAGGAATATATGATGAACGGAGTACCAACAAGGAGAGGGGAGGCTAGAATGGTCACTTCCGACTTATTGGCTGTCATTGGTCAGTTACGCCCAAACGCAGGCTTGCAGGGCATGGGAATCGAACCCGGGACCTTTGGTCATTGAGTGAAACATTCTGCCATTGAGCCAAGGGCCAGTTGTCCTGCCGCGATTGATGACGGTTACTAAGCCGGACATGGCCATTCCAGTCTCCATTGTCTTTTTCGGTGCTCCGTTCAGCACATATTCCTGGTCACCATGAGACAGCCTCCAAGGGCTCAAGATGGAGCCCTAAGGCCCAACGGGATGAGCATGTCCCGTAATCCGATCAGTGGACACAAATCTAACATAGTTAATATTCCCGATCGCAACCGACAGGACAACGGGCCCATGGTTAAATGACTGGACGTTCGACTTAGTGATCAAATCTAAGATTCGGATCATAGGTGCTGCAAACCATAACTTGGGCACGGCTTGCCGACAAAGGCTAACAAGCTGGAAATGGCCAGCTTTTTTGTCAGTGCTCCGTTGAGTGTGTGTAATGCTTAGCAGTCAGGTCAGTCGTCTAGGTTGCATAAATCAGCGTTTGTTCGCTTTCTCCGTGAGGGGCTAAGTACTAAGTCCCTAAGTAAGGCTTTTTAGATATCTCAGCGGACAACAAACTCCTCCTACGGCTCACAAATACGCGTTTGGAGAAGAAACACGAAATAATCCAGACCACGCCACACTCTCCGCATGACTTTGACAATTGTGGATGAGAAATTTGTTCTTGGGTGTGGTTGGACAGTTGATATAACTTGCACGTTAGTTGGTTTATGGTAAAGATGGCTTGCGCAGCATCTTCCCTACTTTGCCTTCATCGGTAGAGGGGAGCTCACCGATCGTTTTTTTCCGGAACACACTCTGCCTATGCCATGCGTCGCTGTGCGGCTGCTGGTTCGGCCCAATAGAGGAGCCCAAAGGCACAACTGGACGAGTGAGTTCCGTAGAAACGATCGGTAGGTGGCCCTCTACCGTTGTATATTCTCGATCGCAGCCGACAGAACAACGGGCCCGTGGCTCAGTGGTTAGAGGCGTTGGACTGCTAACCAGCAGGTTGCGGGATCGTGCCCCAGGCGTTTCACACTTCGGGTTTGGGTATGACTGACTGACGGCGGCCAATGAGTCAGAAATGGCTATTCCAGTCTTCCTTATCTTCGTCGGTAAAGCCATTTTACCTTCATCACCCAATCTTGATCATGGGACGAGACTGTGTCAAGACGACTGACTGTAACACCGGGTGCAAGGACAGGCTGCATATAAAAGCTCCACTTACGCGTGCCACGACACGGCTGACTCCTCCCTGTTGACGGACAAACCAGGTTACACAGAACTTCACGGAGGGGGGAGGGAGTACATACTAACTACCCTCATCTAGTTTGGCCAGCCGATAGAAGCGATTACCGGACTGAAACCGCTGCAGTGAGCACAGATGAGTGGAGCCGAAGTACGACAGCATGGAATAGCCTCACGAGATTAGGCATTCAGTATGACTACATAGTTAACAAGTCGGAGACCTTATTACGACACACCATACACCGCGAATTCGTCATTAAATGTTCCTCTCCAACTTACTACTCACGGGGGGTGCTAAAAACACTTCGTTGTCTGTATGACGGTTTGCACTGTGCTAGCCTTGTAAACCTAAGTGCTGTCCGTCTGATTATGTCAAATGACATCGAATTGAGGAAGTGGACTACCACAGCAGACAACTGTTAAACCTTCAGACAACCGCCATCGGTAAGTACAACAAATCGGGCCTGAGATTGTGGTGAGTGCTGTGGGCAATAGCTGATAATGACGATGATCGTGCATGCTCATGAGCGGTAGGACGTGGAGGTAGGCTAATCGGGTTAGAAAGCAGTTTCCACAGATCCACTGGCCAAAAGCAGACTTTCTAAAATAACGATGGTAATATTTCAACGCACCAACAGACAGTGTTTTGATGCAGTTGATGTTTTCGTAGTCTGGCATAGTATTGCAAGTACTGTCACTTTTTGTTTTACTCGAATCCGACCCCCAGAGGCAATACACCCTGCAGGCGTTGATTAACAGCGAAAGACTTGTGTAAAATCGATGTTGCTTATTCTACTGGTGGTAAGATCAAGTCAAGGTGACTAAACGTGCGCTTTACGGGGGTGATCGACAAGACTTCTAACTCCTCCGGTGTTACAGGCGCTACAGGCAGCCTGGTTCTTTATACCCACCAAACTAGACATCATTCTGACCAAACTGATACCATGATTTCGATCTGACGCAGTAGCGCCAACACTTTCTGACGCTACTTATAGATTAGTTGAGCGACAGAAAATAACTGCTAAGTTAATAAACGCAAGGTTATTTCTAAATGAAGTTCAGAATTTTGAGTACACTGGAGTTAAAATCACGAAATATCCGCAGCAAATATAATACCTGAGAGTGCTGAAACGGTTAGTCTGGTTTGCGCAATTAAGAGGAGAACCCAGCAACAGCTGGTAGTATGCAATTCCTTGAAGCGGTCAATCGAAATGCAGTGTCCTCGTTCCATAGTGGCTGGGTTTACCGATGGTGCACAGGCGCGCATTACTGACTGGCTGCATTTGAACAACTTTTGTAATACTTTTCCTTGCTTACCCAATCAAATCTTCCGAACGTATTTTCTACGCAAAATGTCCCAGTTTTTACAAGTTGCATGACCGTAACCAAAGAGGACACACTGCTTCGATAGCTGGTTTCGGTTGTTTGGATAATACGCACAAAAGAAGGTAATGCTTCAACGGTATGCAAGCGTATTTTGAAGATATTGAGTAAAAAAGGGGGTCTAGGTGTGGTTGGCCCTAAGTAGAAACAAATAATACGTTGTAGTTTACTAGCATCCCAAAAACTTTATTCGAAAGTTCTATTGCAATCTGCGAGATTCACGCCTACACTTTGCAACGTAACTGGCACGCACCTCGAACTAAGAAATCATGCAATTCTCAAGACCCAAATTGGCCTCAACCTCGCAGCAGGTACATTCCCGCCTACACAATGACGACACAAAATATTGTCCAGACACGCCATTATCCGTTGCGAAAACTGAAGAAGATTTCCATACTTGGATGGATGTGTTTCAGGAGCACGCGTTTTCTAAAAAGTTTAACATCACAGGGTACCTAGTAGGTAGTTCAAAAGTTACTTTGGATTAAATAAAACTGACCGTCCGTCGAAATCGATCAAAACCGGGGTATCAGTTGTTTCGATGGCGATGTCTCATGTCTACAAACTAAATTAACCAAATCTACGCAGGTGCCTAGGGAAGCTGGACAAACTCGATCACCAGACGGCGGTAGATGATAATGGCCACCCTAAAACCCGCAAGCATGAGACTTATAATACTAACGACTAGAAGTGAAGGTAACATAAAAAACATCTGTGACACCAAAATAGAAGCACTAATAAAAGCTCCAGTTGTTTTCTAAAAACAAGGAAAACTACTGTATGACAGACAGAGGCCTTGAGTTTGAGTTGGAAAGAATACAGAGTAAATTAAGGATGAGGGAGAAAGCTCACCTGGAGGAGCCTGCAGAAGTAGCCAGCGATGAAGAACCAAAAACGCGATGATACTGTGGTGGACTATTGGACGAGGCATGAATTGGAATTTTGGATTGCTCTCGATAGGCTTGTTGCCGGTCAGGACAGCCCGAATTACCGTTAACTGTATGCATGACTCTGTTTATGCCGTTTTCAGGCGCCATCTAAGGTAGCAGCAAGAAAATGAAGAACAGTATTAGCATCAGTCAGCAACAACTTACGCTTTATAGACTAAAAAAACTGGTTAAAACTTACGCCCATACGCGAACTTCCTGTATTTCTGGCTTAAAAGAGGAAAGGATCTAGTGTGAACATCTGTTGCCCAAAACAGTAAAAATGATGAGAGATCATAGGCCAACCTCTGATAATAGGCTTTTGCGTTCCCGAAGGCCACTGTTGGTGGACGGGATCGTACAACTGCTGGTTGTGGCCGCTGACCTGTACTTCTTGATTTTCCCAGGCGTGGTGGTGAAAGTCACGTGGGGGCGTACATGATGGTCGACTTCGTTCGTCATAAGGCTAAAAGCAAACCAAGGAAGGAGGCCCACGTCACTCTGTGATTAATCCTTTCAATGTGGAGAACAGAAGATAAATTCTACCTGTCTATCAAGTTCTTGAAGGTAGTTGGAGAGTCGATCATCATCGGTGGGTCCAAAGCTTTGAGAAGCTCCGCTATTCCATAACCACTCCCCTAAACGCCTGAAAGGAAAATCGGAAAATTAAAAGGGCCAGGTTCTGTAGAACGACTGTAGAACTGCATCTCAAAAGACCGACAGACCAGTAACTGGACCGAAAAAATTCTTTAGCAAAAAAACCCAAAGACTTAAATCCGACTTGCCTCTCTTCTTGGGAAGGTTCCACACCATCAAGTATTTGTAGGCCGGGAAACCAGCTCAAAACATAGGCTCGGTGGTTCGTCTGTCTATAGGGTTGTATAGGGTAAGTTAAAGAACTGAAAATTCGGGCCTGATTTGTATTATTCGAAAATCATTGAAGTCAAAACCGGGAATATGTGCAGAAGTAATTTATATTACACAACTATAACCGGTCAAAATACCGGTGTGCCAAATTCAATATTTTCTGTGCATGGTTTTTAAAAGCGTCTTATGCGATGGTGCAGGAATTATAATTATTTTAGGGGATTAGGCAGTAAGGGGGACATTAATCGAAACTGTGAATTTAATGTAACAACCAAAACTGGAGTCCGAACAACCTAAAATATCCCAATATGCCACTAATTATAATGGAAAGGTGATCATTCGGATAACAAGATATGCGAGAAAATGAAATCATAGAGCGTCTGTGGTGCGCATCCACGGTCACGTTTGATAAATATCGAAAAGGATACGCATTGAGTGCACATGGGTTTCCTTGGATTGAAAACTGGATAAGGGACTCCAGGTGTGCTAAATAAGCTAACTGGGATGAATTCACTAAAGTTTGCGTATATTTTACCTGTGCGTAGGAGTCCAACTGGTTTTCAGCGAGGGATAAAATGCACAATTGACTTGGAAGATAGTGTGATGCTGTATCCAGAGAAGATATGTCGTTACAGTGTAAGAGGAGAGTCTGGAAGCAAACAAAAATCAAGAAAATGCAAGTGTGCCTTGAGTTTTCTCAACGATGAGAGGTCTCCAAGCTCGGATATTTTGTTTTCGGAAAGGTCAAGATGTTTCAAAGAGAGATTGTTGTAAAGCCCATCAATTCTCTGAAAAGTTTGTCTATAAGATAAGATGAACCTGGATCCGGTTTCCACTCAAGTTAAGCCATGTCAATCGGGTCAGGGAGCAAAGTCCTAAAGATGAGACGAGAAACCCCGACGGTACCATCAATAAAGGTGATTTCATTGTAAGCCAAGTTTAGAATGGTAAGATTGTTTAAGGCGGAAAGACTCTGCATCTCGCAAATTCTGTTGTTGGCAATGGACAGCTGCAAGTATTAAATACGTGAAGTTTTACCTGCTGCAGATCATGAAGAAAATCCAGACAGCCTAGATTTCGAAACTCATTATTATCTAATATTATTGAGGTCGTATCCCGGTAAACAGGGTCCAGGTACGTCAGTCCTTGGTTCACTAGAGTAACTACTCGCCTACTCATTTCTGAAGTGCTTAGGGCACGGGCCACCGGAATATATTTTACGCGTCGCACCAATCGGCGCGCCCAAAACTGCAATTCATGATATCGCCGGTTAATGAGTGAAACAATCCGTGAAATCAAGGCCCTTAAACTGCAGGATCCACACTTATTTAACTTGCCGAATATTTCATTATTTCAGTCTTTGGAGCTAATTTAAAATAAGAGTTTAAACTTTCGGTCCAAATATTTATGTCAACTTATTGTATGCAAAATATGCAGTTTCGTTCCGAGTGATCTACTCCAAGTAAGCGCATTAACTTCCGAAGAAATCAAGCTGCCGAAATTCCGAAATTCCGTGGATTACCAGAAGGCACACTGGGAGAGTTGGGGCACCCCGTATGGAGCCGAACTCCTTGCAGTTGCGTCATGCAACGACTGGATATCAGCGAAACACGTTTGGCATTTTAGCTATTGTGTGTGCTGTCAACAACGTAGATCATACAAAGTGAGTATTTCAAAATTTACTGTATACATTTTCCGAGCTTGAAACGCAGGTTAATAGGGTAATGTGCTGCTATTTGTCCGAGACTATCAAACATAGCCATGGTTTGCATTTTTGGGTTGACTAATTCCAGGAGGACGTATATAACAGCAAAAATCAACCATTCGCACAGTCCAGAAAATGGAAACTGTTTTCGCCAGCATATCACCAGTCTGCTTGTATGTATACGTCCCTTCTGTGCGCCACTTTTCACTATTCAATGGGCAGATAAAATGATATATGACATCGCCCAATTTATTCCGCATTTGGACACCAACCTTGAACACCAATAGATCGCTGTAACAATTAGAGTGACCCCGTTAATACCCATTTCGAATCTTTACACGGACGCACACGAAAATGACCTTACAGATGGATGTGCGCAAGCGACGACGTCAACCGCGTTCAACTGACTTTCGTGAAGTGGATGTGACTGGATCGTGAATTATTTTGCAGTAAGCCCAATCTGCGCAACATCAGTCGCACTCTCCCCTAACAGACTCATCTTGCATTCATGTGGAAAATAATTGGGAATATCTGAGGTTGGCGTGAGTGTGCTGTTTCACTAAGCTAAACCTCTTGCACGTGCGCGCCACGCAGGACAATGCATTCGTTCTATATATACCAGGTCACAACAGGACCTCGCATGGTGGGAATGTTACAGAAGTCATATTAAAAAGGAGCCATTGCAGTCTGACTGTCTGACCTGAGAATGTCTGTTATACCGCGTCAGTCGAACAACTCCTTAGACCGGACTCTGAGGGTGTGGTGATAAATGTAGATGCGTCAGGTTTTTATAGTGAGGTTCATGGTACCGAGTCGTGTGGATGGATTCCTCAGTGTCGGCCTTAGGTCCCCTTCTCTGACCGGAGTAGCATTTAACAGTTCCAACCTTTCAACAGTGTTATTAAGATAAAATGCAGCGCTTGATAGGGCTAAACAGCTGCTTGCATGTGCAAAACAGCCTAGCCCCCACTTCCTGTACCCAACTACAGCTTGGCATATGAAATTCACTTCCTCAACCACGTAAGAATTCTACTTTGCATCTGTTATTCTCCCACCACAAAGAAAGGCAATTATTGGCTGTATATACAATCCCCCAAAATTCTTTAGCCAGTGATGATTCACAACTCTGTGTAATCTTTAAATTAATTTCGGAAGCTGCTTTC